GTTAGGGATGGTAGGCTATGCCTAGGGATAGGCTAGACATAGGAGTAGGCTAGTTTGACCCCCCCTCAAAATAGGCACGTTACAACTTCAGAGTGTTTACATCATTACCGTTACTGCTTAGACTAATAGTCAGGTCCTGAGTCTTATCAGCATTAAGACATAACTTGTTTGCATTACACCAGTCGTTAATAACAGCAGATTTTGTGTCCAATGTGTCTGTAACATCATTCAAAGAGTTACCCCGTACACACAAGGCCAAGTCATCATCAAAAAGAAAGCTTTTTACAGATAAGTCATTAATATTACAAGGTAAGTCATTTATATACAGTATAAACAGGGTAGGGCCCAATATAGAGCCTTGGGGCACTCCGTGGGGCACTCGAACAGGGCTAGAATAAGTGCCATTTAGATAGACTTTTTGCCATCTGTCACTAAGATAAGATTGAAAAAACCTTAACCAAAACAGCATCAAGGTTATAGCAAGAAAGCTTATTCACAAGGAGATCATGAGCCACTGTGTCAAAGGCCTTAGACATGTCGTACGATCTGAACACTATACCACTTTTGGCCTCTAAACTTTGAAAGCAATTTGATATCAGTGCCTGGGTTGCTTGGACAGTGCTGTGTTTGGGCCTAAAGCCAAACTGACTACTTGCTAAAAGGTTACTATAGGCCAAACTGGTCGCGGGTTTAACACACGATTTAAAGAACACAGACCAAATCCTAGGACGAACTAACAGAAGTCAGCATTCAGCCAACATATAATCGACAACAACCACTCATTCAGAAACAATAGAAGACAGTCTAGAAATACTCCACATTTGTGCAAAAGGCAGAAAATTTGACACGTTAGAAGAATATGAAATCTACAGAGCTCATAAAAATAACGACGCAAATGAATTTGTTCTAGAATGTTGATTGTAGAATGTAGAATGTTCAATGTTGATTTCATTTAATTTCATTTCAGAATACTAAATCTATTAAATAACAAAAAGTTGTTTGTATAAGGTTGTTTTTTTCCTACTGACACCAATAAGTTTCCATTAAAATGTTTATAAATAAAGCAATTAATGGGAAATAACTTTGATTGCCGATAACTTTTTACGAGAAATTCCAAAACCAAGAGATCAATAACCTTGGGACTTGATTAACGCATATAATTGGTCGGATGTACTATAGTTCTTAACTATAAACGTTGGTTTTTGGTACTGGTTCTTTTCCTTAGAACCGTTGGTAGCAGCAAGAATCATTTTTACGTACCAACACATCACTGTAATTTACAAATTAGTTATCGTTTATGTTGTACCTTATTTATTACAGGCGTATTCAATTTAATTGATGTCTTAACTGTATAAATTTTGCTTTTTCTGTCTGGATTCCTGAATGTTAGTTTATGCTAAGAAAACAATAGGCCTAATGCATTTTAGTAAAACATTTATTCAGCAAACAATCATGAATTGTTTAAACGTTTTACGTTGTTTATGTATCAATATTTCGTGGCCTATTTTGGTTATTTTTATATATTACCAATCTAAATCGTCTATAGTACTTCATTTGATATAGTAAGCCGTCATTTCAACAGCATTTCGGGTCATCTTCGGTCCAAACAAATATAAATTGTTATGATAAAATTTGATGACATTAACAAAGATTTCAAATACTAATTTTATATGTACTTTTTTGTTATGCTTAAAATGTAGCAAATTCCCTAATTAGGTTCTGTATTTTTGTGTGTATGTCTGTTGGTAACGCACTAATGTCCTTATTTCTCAGTGTTTCACGGAAAGGACAAGAGCACCTTTATAATGAAAATGTCAACCCGAATAAAGTGTTAAATTGTGAGGTTGAGGTAGTACCATAAATACTTTTAACCATTGTGGAAAGTAACTATCAATTATAGGCCTACCTTAGGGCTATGCCACACAGCTAGTGTATATATATATATATATATATATATATATATATATATATATATATATACACGTCCGCAAACGCGATAACTTGAGTAATTTTTGTCCAATTTTGATTAAATTTGGCTTGAAGGTGCAGGGCAGGATAAACTTGAATAAGTTCATGAACCAGCATGATTGGACCATGGGAACGTGGTGTTATGGGGGCTTTTATAGGGAAAAAATTGGTTTTCTTATTTTTGATCCTCAAAACATAAAAATTTTCAATTTATCATCAAACCTTAAAAAAAGAAGCAAAAAAAAACAAAAACAAATAATGTAGTATATTGAAGTAAATTTTACGGTTATTGTAAAAACTACAATAAATCTATCCTATACTCTAATACGAGCAATGTTTGCTTGTATGTATGCTTGCTTGCTTGCAGAAAGATCTCGAAAACGGCTCCGACGATTTTCTTCAAATCTTGTAAATAGTTATTTTTTGGCCAAAAAACGAGTTTCATGCAGTTAAAACTGCCAACAAAAATCTAATTACGTAGAAAAACGAAACTGAAAGTAACATTTTTTAAACATTAGTCTTATGGGTTGCTAAGCAACCATGTTGGTTGAATTAAATAACAAGGAAAAAGTAAACAAAAGACTTGAAGTTGTAGCATGTGTTCATAATAAGCCAACTACCCACAGTATACTAGCAAATTACAAATACAGTACAAAAGGTAAAGCATCACTTGTTACTATTGAGCAAAGATTATACTGAAGATTGCTCAATACATTGAAGGCCTAAAAAAGGCAAGCAGTACAAAGTGCGGGATCTGTTTATGACGATTAGATTAAGGTTATCTGCAATCCTAAAATGCTATAGGAAGGGAAGGAAACAGGTCTGCGACGTAGGAAGTGGTGAAGGAAGTAGTAAAGGAAAGTTGTCCGGAGTGTTGGATCTGTTTATGACAATTATATTAAGGTACTTGCAATCATAAAGTGCTAAGGGAAGGGAGGGAAACAGGTCCGTGATGTAGGAAGTGCTGAAGGAAGTAGTCAAGGCGAGCTGTCTGGAATGTGGGAACTGTTTATGACGATTGGATTAAGGTATTTGCAATCCTAAAATGCTATGGAAAGGGAAGAAAACAGGTCTGCGAAGTAGGAAGTGGTGAAGGAAGTAGTCAAGGTGAGCTGTCCGGAGTGTGGGAACTGTTTATGACGATTAGATTAAGGTATTTCAAATCCTAAAATGCTATGGGGAGGGAAGAAAACAGGTCCGCGACGTAGGAAGTGGTGAAGGAAGTAGTCACGGCAAGCTATCCGGAGTGTGGGAACTGTTTATGACGATTAGATTTAGGTATTTCAAATCCTAAAATGCTATGGGAAGGGAGGGAAACAGGTTTGTGACGTAGGAAGTGGTGAAGGAAGTAGTCAAGTCGAGCTGTCCGGAGTGAGGAACTGTTTATGACCTGTTATAACTGATTAGATTAAGGTATCTGCAATCTTTATAAATGCAATGAGAATGGAGGAAAACAGCTCCGCTTCGTAGGAAGTGGTGAAGGAAATAGTAAGGCTAGCAGTGCAGAGTGTGGGAACTGTCTGTGGCAATTACATTAATGTATCTGCAATCCTAACATGCAATGGGAAGAGAGAAAAACAGGTCCACGACGTAGGGGTGGCGAAGGAATAAGTAAAGACAAGCAGTGTGGAGTTTGGGAATGGATTATGTATCTGCAATACTAAGACTGCTTTTAGAGTAAACTAATGATTTCCCCGAGCAAAGCTCGGTCCCCAGGTACTATATATAAAAGGCAAAGCCCTCACTGACTGACTGACTGACTGACTGACTCACTCACTCACTCATCACTAATTCTCCCACTTCCCACTTACCTAGGAGGCTGAAATTTGGTACACTGATTCTTTAGGCATTAAATAGGAAAACTAAGTGGTTTTTATTCTGATCGGACTCTCGGGCTCCACCCCAGTGGCTCTGGAGTAACCTAATGAGAACTCATATTTAAATGGAATTAATGAATCATAACAGCTGTTTCAATTAAACAAGTTTGTTCTGTTCTATGATGTTCAATAGCATTAAAGTTACAAGGATTACCAACAGAGTGCAGCACTATTAAGCTAATTTAAAACCAAAAGGCGAGTGAGCGTAGCGAACGAACTTTAACCCGGAGGCGAGGTAGCGTAGCGAACGAGCTAACCTGAAGGCAAGTGAGCACAGCGAACGAGCTCCAACCGTAAAGGTGAGTGAGCGTAGCGAACGAACTTCAACCAGGACATGTGAGTGCAGCGAACGAGCTCCAACCTAAAGGTGAGTGAGCGTAGCGAACGATCTTCAACCAGGACGTGATTGAGCCATGCGAACGAGCTCACATATGAAGTTAAACGGGGCAAAGCCCGCGGGTACAGCTAGTCTATATATAAAGCCAAAAGTACCCATGAACTTTTGAGAAAACTACAAGTCACACCCCCATAAACCATATACTTAAAATGTTCGTCATGACGAGAAACCTTGCGCAAAATTTTCCATTATTTCATAAATTGCCCTATAAGGTCGTAATTGCTTTCCAAAGGGAACTTTCCATTTACCTAATGTTAAAAATACCTCAGCTGTTATTATTTGTTTGCATTACCATTACTGTAATCTGTTTTGTTTATTTCATCTTAACTTAACCAATCAATAGTTTTATTAATACTAATGTAGTAAAACGGGGTGGAGCCCGTGGGTAACAGCTAGTTTACAATAAATTGTAATTTTAAAATTCCCATGTTATCTTATGGAGAATAAGTAAACTGTTTATGGCTTGTCAAATTCGCTCAAAAGCTTGTTTATGCTTGTTTAAGCTTGTTTATGGCTTGTCGATCAATCTTGGCAAATTTATTAATTTTAAGCTAAGCTTTTCACTTTTACTAAAAAAACACACTTTTTTACCCTCCCTGTAGCAGCAAATCTAGGTATGCTATTTAAAAATTATATAGATTTAATTGAAAATCCAATCGGGTAAATGGAAATTCGCTTAGTCTGCAGGTTTGCTGCAGCGGGTATTATTGTTTGATCTTAGTAAAAAAACAAGGTGGTTATGTAAAATACTTAACAAAAACTTTGAAAACAAATATTTATTTTTTCAAAGTAACTTCTCTAAAAGAAATGTACAAATGCCTCGGAATCTTGTAAAACTAAGAATTAAGAAGAGAAAGATATTCAATGAGAAATTGTTCTTCCTCAGCAAGACTCAGGTTCAAATGATCGTCAGTCAGATCATTTCCAATCAAATCTTCCGAAACTCTGTCAAAGGCTTGTTGCTCTTCTTCCTGTTTCCTTTTGCGTTTACTCCAAAACTCCCCAAGAATTTTTTCAATTGAGGAATTTGCCTCAGCTAGAGCTTCATTCGTACCTTCACCTGAAATAGAAAAATAAGTAAATTTTAATTCAAAAGTAGAATTAATCAGTAGTAGCAGGTGTTGGAAATTAAAATTGTCAATGTAAATTATGTCATTGTAAATCTTAAAAGTAGGGTATTTTCAACATCACTTTTTTCCTCCTATTTGTTGTTGTCCTACGTCACTGTGTTATCCTCACGTAAGAAATGCAAAAACTGCAAAAGAGGCTTCGGACAATCTTCAAAATGTTTTAAGGATAAGGGGTTTAGTTAGACGACTAAGTTTTTTGAGAGCTTTATTCAATACTAAGCTTTCTGAATTTGGTTTAATGGGCGCTTATGTGTTATGTCTGTTTCACAACAAATAGCAGACATAAGTAAGCCCATTGAGGATGAATTTCTTGCTGTAGTAATGTTGAAGGACTTACCCAGTCATTATGAACTACTCATTCTAGTCATTATGATCATGGTTATTGTATTAGAAAATTTGGGAGCCGAACTAACAGCTGAACAAGTCAAGTCTAAATTACTCCAAGATAATTTAAAGGATGTCAGTTCTGGTCATAACAGTTTAAATGGAAATGCATAGCTAGAAAACAGAACACTAAACGTTCTGACGTGATATGTTATCGATGCCACAAACATCGTCATAAAGCATTGCATTGTTTAAAAAATTACTCCAAGATAATTTAAAGGATGTCAGTCCTGGTCATAACAGTTTAAATGGAAATGCGTAGCTACAAAACAGAACACTAAACGTTCTGACGTTCTATGTTATCGATGCCACAAACATCGTCATAAAGCATTGCATTATTTAAAAAATTACTCCAAGATAATTTAAAGAATGTCAGTCCTGGTCATAACAGTTTAAATGGAAATGCGTGGCAACAAAACAGAACACTAAACGTTCTGACGTGATATGTTATCGATGCCACAAACATCGTCATAAAGCATTGCATTGTTAAAAAAATTATACTAAATTTGGGAAGAGTACTAATCCAAACGAAGGTGCTACAGTCGGGTCAAAAAGTATAGATACTTGAGTTTGAGCTTTTATTGCAACGTAACCAGTTGACTTAGAAAAATACAAATTACATCAAATAATTTTACAAATTTATTCCTACCAGGATAACAATTTTTTATGCAGTTTCAACCCATCCTTTCTGCGGGTTGAATGAAAATAGTACACGTTTTACGGCACTTTTCTAACAAAGGGCGACTTTAAAATTTTATAACAAAAAAACTAAATCTAATCGTCATGAAACTTTGACAGCCTTTAGAACATATACTTATAATGGATATCTGTACATACATTTCGTCCTTAAAACACGAGATGTTATAAAACAGACATCAATGTAGTTTTTATTAAACTAAATAAGCGATGGCTGGAGTAGTATTAAGTTCCACATTAATAAACTTTGTGGGGCAATAGCACAACGAATAAAACAATATTACGCTATGGAAAGTTGTACCCATCATCCAATTTTTACAACAGTCAGCCGTTGACATGCTAGGGCAAAGGCGGTCAAATTATCTGCTAGATCTACTAACTTACACAGGCATCAGCCATCAGCGGTAGCACCAGTAGCCTATTACCATTGACTATATAAACATTAGTGTTTAAGTTTATATAGTCAATGCTATGACTGAATTTGATACTATACACATTGTGACAGATCTATGGAATGGAGAAAAACGTAAGGTTAAAAAACATGTCCTACTTGCTTGCATGACATATAACAGGTGAAATGGGAGGTCTCAGGACAACTGGACACAGTTCTAGACATTAAAAATGGCTTTATAAAGTCACCAAACTGCTTTTAGGAGGTATGGCTTCGTAGTCTACAGTAGGTGTACCGATTCGTCGTATAATACAACGAATTAATGTAGCAGACGCTACAAATAGTCAGCTGATCAGACAATAAGGTACCCACAATGCTATCTAACCACACAAGTGGAAGGGGTAGGGCCCCAGCCGCCAGCAACGAGTCTGTCTGTCCTTTGCCTTCCTTGTAGCTAGTCGGGAAAAGTTTCGTATCATGCAAATTAAATTCATTTCGCGGTGTTGGTCGAATAGAATCTTTATTTTCTTAATATCGTTTAGCCTATATCCCAAAGGGATATAATTGCAACGCGAGTGGAAAATAAAATCAGTTTTTTTGCGAAACAAGTGTCAAAAGTTTGTTTTTACCGACCAACACGAGCCGCCATTTGAAAATTTCACGTTCGTCACACGAAATCAAATCGATCGCGTTTTTCGGAAAACCGTCTAGTTACAGTTCCCCATTCCTATCCCTGTATTTATGTCAGTGTTTTTTTGTGGACGTCCGAAATTTGTAAGTAATTTGTGTTATTTATTGTTATATATTAGGTTTCAGTGAGTCGCACATGTGTAAAATTTTCTTGTTATAGTTTGTCATTTCCTGTTATACTAGCACATGTTCTCAGGTTGCAGTTTCCATCAGTATTTTTAATATCCATTTATTGTAAATCAATCTGCATCGTTTATTATATTGTGACTCTCTAAATATATAGGATAAATTAAATTGTATAGGGTTTTGCACTCATAGTGAATGTAAATTGCAAATTATTCTACTTATACAGATTAGTAACAGTCATTGTTTAATTTTGCTGAAGTATCAAACAGAGGTAATTTAAGAGTGCCACAGTCAGTATTTTATTTGGGGAAAATTTAAATAATATCAAAAGTGGGAGTAGGTAGCTGGTTCGACTAGATGCGGAAGTGTTATTGGAGGTTGTGACAGTTTGTTAATAGATGAACCGTCAAAGTACCTAATTAGCCATAAAATAATAAGCAATATTCTAATACATACTACTACGATTAAACGCAACATTGTTTGATCAGTTGGACTACGAGACTCGACCTTCATTTTTTAATTCGTTGGCCAACGAACAGGATTTGCTTGTTACTGGTCATCTCAAACGTTAAATTAAATATCACCCCTCTGTTGACACGTTCGTGATCAGTGTGTAACCGCGCCGTAACTTCCCTTTTGACAGGTCCATTTGAGATTCTTAAACAAAAGACTTCAAATTGATTGTAGCTTCCAAGCTTCCACTGCCAAAGCTCTGTCTTATATTATTATTTTCCAAGTTCTTCCAACCTAGGGGCAACCAAGATTTTTAAAGAATTCACTTTGAGAGCATTGCAAGGAGTAAATATATTTAAATATATTATTTAAATATATAAAAGTAGAAGAGCATCTCTTTTTATTTTTTCTTTACAAATAAATGATATCATCGCGTGATTTCCTGGTATTGTTTGTGTCTGTGCGATTCACTGAAATTGTTTAAATTATAAGAAATTCTATTGTTATTGTTATTGTCATTGTGTATTGTGCTGTGAATCGTTGGTAATCGTTGTATGTCGTCGTGAAATATTCGGTTTTTTGTCAAACAGAGGTATATTATCGTCAATTGAATTATTTTTCCTGGCGAAGAAATGCACCGAAAATTTGGGCCTGGGTATAATACGACCGCGAATGACCGACTTGACCGTATGTCGAGGAGAAATTTAGAGGAATTAATCGACTTAAATGCAACGATCAACCAAAACAATGAACGAATTCCACCAAATGACAATGGAATTAATTTAGGTAGACAAAATCCCGATTGTCGTTTACCGATTGTAAACGATGACGAACCATCGCCAGTTAGACAACCACGAATTGACAGAAATATTATCTAGTACGTCGAATACAAATCAAAACAGTCATGCAAATAGCTCATCGTATGTAGACATTCAACCTTCGAACGAGCATGTGAGAGAGATGGAGATAGTGGCTCCACAGTGCATGTCGTTTCTGGCAGCGGCTGGTGCGTTGCCTAGTAACAACCGTGCCACTGTACATGGCATAAAATAACATGTTAACTAGGTGACACAAGTGTCGCCCAGTGCTGAGATTTTGTCGCCCAGTGGCTATAGGTGGTGCCGGCACATTTTGTTTATTGATACTCATTTTAAATCTATCGGAATTTACAAAGTATTTAAAAAAATACATCTTGTAAATATTTTAGAGTATTGAGCTATAATTTTTGGCCCAAGAGATTGTGAAGGGATTCTTGGCCTGTTACAACGTTCTAGAATACTTAATTAAGTGAGATTATAAGGACTATTTAAAAGCAAATATAATCGAAAAATTCATTAAAAGATACGTAGAAATGTGTGATTTTCACTTTAATTTATGCACAAATTTCCCCAGACCCCCCTTTTTGATGGGGAATATTCCATACCCCCAGTAAGTCTGGCGCCACTGTCGCCCAGTGGAAATCCCTTAAAATATGCTCTGCACTGTACACCACCACACCATCACTGACCTTTCACATATACCACACGCTCGCACCTTCACACAACCTGACACTCGAACATATACGCAACATGCACATGATACCCACATACATGCTCATGCTCATTCACATAATATTAATCAGACTCTCACTAAAACAGATCAGATCGTAGTAATTGAATTAATAAACAAATTAAATACAGTAGACGGCACAGATGAACTTGAATTAATTTCATTCCTCAAAAATATTAAGCCAATATTTGATATTTCTCCAAATTGTCACACAGAGATCATTAAACTCATCATCCCTAAGGTCAAAGGTCAAATGTTCCAATTATTTTTAGAAGCCGTATCAGGTGACGTACGTTGGAATGACTTACATGACGAAATATTACACAGAATTATTCCGTCAATTAGGCAACGAGAGATTGCATTGTTTGAATTGGATCGACCACAACAACCTAATGAAACTTTTTCAGAATACGTCGATCATATCATATCCATCGCATTTGCATTAAAATCGTCAATGTCAGAAGGCGAGGTGATTGAGATTGCTTTGACAAAATGTAATCCGATTGTTCGAAGCCATTTTTCGTTTGGTCAGATGCCACAAAGCCTATTCGAGCTGAAATCATTCGCCAATCGAATCACTAGTTCAATGCGAGCCGAAGAGAGATATTTTGGTGATGCAAATCGACGGCCATTGATCAATTC